TGTTTAATATTGCGTACGGGCTCTGCACCCGACGACATTTACGTTTATTACAGTTGCTGTGTATGACATTGTAATGATGTGGTCTGAGGCGCCCACGTGCGGCCATTACGGAGTGTCATTCCGACCTCATGTTATTTTACTGCTTAGTACTGTGTATCTGTTTAGTTCACAGTCATATTGCTTTATTTCGTTAAAATAATAATATATTTGCTGTTTATTTATTTTGTGTAATTCAGGAAACCACAACAAGACACATCCTGTACGTTGTTCATGTGAGGAATTAATAAAGAAGGAAACCATGTTCTGGAGTAGCTGCAGTTTTTCTTACCGGAAACTAAGGCCAGACTGTGTACGCCAGCATCCAAAATATATTCTACACAAATCAATTACTGTAAACCAACAAGCCCCTGATGGCACTTGTGACATTAATGTTGTAACATTGGGTACAGTCGGTGCCAAATGTTGCACAGCTTCATTTATACCCCTAAGATCTTGAACTGGTCTCCAGGACCCATTTGGTTTCTTAACAGGTAAGATGGGGGAGTTGCATGGTGAGTTAGGGCATTCCACAATGGCACCCTGATCTATTAGCGCCTGAATGACCGGAATGCCCGCAACAGCTTCTGGACTAAGTGGATATTGTCTTTTAGCCTGTACTCTAACAGGGGTTGCTCCCTTTATATCCCCAAAATCAAATTTACTCTTAGCCCACAAACTTTCTGGTACTGTTGATAACAATGCTTCCTCTTCAACTGTCAAAGGCATTAGTCTGACTCCATGTATGTGTGTATGTACAGTCCTAACATGATACAGACCTGCAATAACTGATGTTGCTTTTATCCCTGTTGGATTACAATGTACATCAATACTCAAAGCACACATTAGATCCCTACCCAGAAGGTTCACTGGGCATACATCAGAAAGGAGAAATTGATGTTCTCCCCTGTAATCCCCAAAACTGACCGATAATAGATCAGATACCGGTTCAAATGATGGCATACCTGATGCACCTATCGTTTTTAGACGTTTTGTTGTTCTAGGGGCTTCAGGAATTACTTTACTTTGGATTACAGATACCTCTGCTCCTGAGTCTACAAGGAATGTCACTTTAACTCTATGCACAGTAAGAGTCAACCTAGGAGGCGTTCTAGAATCCAATGTTAACTGTACGTATTGCTGATATGTAACAACAGGTTTGTTATGGTCTGCATCTGTTTCTATGTGTGTGCATGTGTCTGTGTGTGTGTTTGTCCCTATCTCTATGTTTATGTGCTGCTCAATTCTCTGACCTGCCTCCACTGTCTCCTATGGTTGCTCTGCCTGGAATCCTGGAGAATGCACAGCAAGTCCTCTCGGTGGTGCATGTGGCCACGTCTCCTCTGGCACGTGTCCCCTTTGTCTGTGGGGCCCTGCGTTAGGACACTCCCTCCACACATGGCCTAGGTTGTTGCATTTGTAACACCTCATCTGGATTGGCCTTCCCTGTGGGCCCCCCTCTCTTCCTCCCCCTCCCAGGAGTTCTGTTGTTGTGGGGTTGCCATTGCTGTCCTGGGGTTGGTGCACCCTGCTGATAGTACAACAGCTGAGCAGTTTGTAGCTTCTTTGTCTGTTGAGTTTCCACTTCAACCTTGTTCCTTTCAGCATGTAATACATGTGTCCACACCATCGCTATGGACCCTTTCTCCCAGCCGACACACGTAGCCATCACACCATTCTTCAGGGTAGGGTGGAGTCCATTCACCAAGGCAGTTTTTAACAAGTCACTGTAAGCCTCATTGTCTGGATCAATGCCTGAATGAGCTGCAAAAACAATCTCCATACGAATGCGATAATCAGCAGCTAGTTTATATTTTTACTTTCCTTCACACATACGCCCTCATTGTATTACACTCTAATACGTCACTTAAGGGCCACTTTAATATGGGTTACTATCCACCCAGTGTTATATACTTAATACTTTTTACTTCTACTTATTTTACTTTTATCCACAAGTCTGGTTATCCTTTTTATGTTTTTTTTTTTTTTTTCTATTTCGTTCCAACACCTCCTTTGGCGTTTACATGAGTACCAGCCCAATACCACAATAGGATTTTACATGGAAACGCCAGTACCCCTCAGACGCTGGGCCAGTACCCCTCAGACGCTGGGCCAGTACCCCTCAGACACTGGGCCAGTACCCCTCAGACACTGGGCTTGTACAGACCAAGCACAACCACTCAGGAAAATGCTATCTACCTAGGCTTTTTCCACACATGAATTGATTCAAAACACCGTATGGAGCGGTCGCTGTCCACAACCCCGGCCTGACGTCCGGCGGGATCCTGTCCTCCGTTTGTCGGAGCGGAAATCTCCCTACTGCAGTTTTACCTTCAGTCTAGACCCAGGCGTTGATCAGCGACACGTCCATCCCATCCTCGTCGCCAAAATGTAGTGGAAATTCTTCTCAAAGTTGAGAGGTGCTAAGTCTCTGAAGAACTTTCAAGCCGGTGTGATAATCAAGTCAATTTAATTCATGCAGCATGGAGAGAAGGTCACGTCATGAATGTTCTCTCCCGACTTCCAAAATGCTCTCCCTCATATACATTTCAGTACATCTCATTACATCACAAACAATGAAACCCCCTGTGTTTCTTGCAAATGTTACTCCTGTAAATCCAGGTCTCTCTCACCAAATGGTCCTTGCATTTGTGCCTTCCCCCTGGCTCTTCCTATCATAAAACTCAACCCTTTGACCAGGGGCACATCTGTTTTATTACCCCCAAATCCTGTTTCTTTCCCACACTAGCAGTGGCTGGTACATGAGCGCACTGACACCACTCAGTATTACTTCCAAGTTCAGGAATCCTTTAACTTTCACCGCTGTTGTCCGTCTCCATGGGGACCGCTCTTATCACTATATTGGCTCTTATTGGCTCAAAGGAATGGGCCGGTGTGTTTGTGACTTTGTCAGTAGTTATTTGCATCTAATCAAAACTGTCAAACTCCATTGTATGAACATTGAACAGCTAGTTTGGCTCGTCTGTAGTACAGGGTTGTGCCAGTGTAACCCCTACCTGCACCTGTCACTTTAAGACAGTGCTAAATATCAAATAGGAAAATGAGGGTTGACTTTGATTCTAGATTCAGTGAGGAGACTGCTGAGATTTACCTGCCTAATTGTTGAATCAGACCTGCAATATCTACCCCAAATAACACACATGACAACAGACTGACAATTTTAAAGGAGGTATATTGAACCCAGTACAGATCCTTCACAACACAGTATCTCAAAAAGGTAAATTAAAGTGAATACTGTATTATAATACTACAGTACCTATATCATCAACTCAAAGTCGGACTCACAATACACAGTTCTTTTAAATATCTTTGTTTGATTTTAATATTTTGAACCAAAATTAAAAAATTAAAAAAACCTCTGAGATCTCAGGTATGAAAAAGGAAATTGTCCCAAAAGTTAAAATGAATAAAAAAATGAATAAAAAAAATAAAAAGTAAAAGGGAAAATATGAGTGCACTGAAAGTCCTACCACCCTCTTCTACAGTGAATGTCCAAAGTGAGTATTGTGATGGGAAAGAGATGGAGATGTGGATGTGGATGACCCCTCTTCCGAAGGTGAGTAGCAACCAGGATGGAGATGCAGATGGATGACAGCAGAAGATGGTAGAGGAACCGAGGACTGAGGACCCAATGGAAGGACTCAGCCTACACAGCCAGGCAAGATAATTACTCATGTAGTCCACATAAGGTCCATCTGGATATACTTAAATAAAGTTACTGCTTTACAGTGTCCATTTTACTTTGTGTTGCATGAATTCTTAATAGCCATCATAACTCACAGTACACTTAACATGAATTCACATAAACCTTTCAAAATAAAGTGTTTCCTTAATATATAGCTAATACTGTAACCTATTTACATTCATTTTACTGTTCACGACTCCAAGAACTCAACACACTCATAAGCTTAACTGCATGAAATTTCTGCTGGCCTAACAGCGTAACAGCTAATTAGCCTGCACCAAGCAGTTATCAAGCGTTTCACACACAGTAATAAATGGAATAATAAAGCACATAAACACAGACTTCAGACATTAATGAATTACTCCAACCTGCTTCAAGTTCATCCCGACTGGTTTTAGTGAGAGTAAAAGGCTCATCTTTAAGTTTTTAACAGCGTGCTAATGTAGCACAGTGATGGTTACTCACCGGGAAATCAATTGTTTACGACTCTAAACTGTTCTACGGTGTCCTACTTGAAGTCGCAGCTCGATGATCGCCTCTTCTACATCTGTGTTCAACTTATCTGTCAGTTTTCTGACTTACTTTTATCATCTACACACACACACCATGCATCAGTTGAGGGGATTGTGCAGAGATTGGTACCGAGGTAAAACCACCACTCCAGTTTGTGCTCACCGAAAACAGCGCCTAACAACTGCTGCTTCAATTAAAGGGACAGTAACACGTATAGATCAGATCGGAGTAACGGCTGGCTGGACCGCAGTTATCATATCACAGTCATTATCTCGAGATCTCAAATTAATTATATCTTTATCTCGGGAAAACGGAGGAAATAAAATGTATGAATACATGGCCCTTTAGGGCTTCCGTAGAAAACAATGATGGAGGTATTAATAAATACATTTTCTTAACGGTGGCTTACTTTTATACGGTAATTTATATATTATTATATATTATTATCATCTATATATTTTAATGTATGTATATTTGACTGTTTCATCTCCACTTTAAGACTCATCCTTCACCCAATGAACCAATATCACAAATCACCAACTGGCCTCAAGGGGCTTTACAATCTGTACAGCATAGGACACCCTCTATCCTCACAGCCTCCATTCAGATAAAGAGAAACTCCACAAAAACCCTTTAACAGGTGAAAAATCAAGGTGGAAAACTCCTGATTATTTCTACTGCTTTGGGAACGGCTGCACATTCAGATGCTGCGGTCGGTAGGCTAGCTCCTTCAAACTTCTCTGTTTAGGTTCAATCTGTTTTCAGCTTTATTGCTCAAACACGTATTACCTCTGACAGAAATAGACTGCAGTCATCAGCAAAGGAAGTGTGGGGTTTGGATTAAAGAGACGATCCACCCAGCCAGAACGGCAGGACCAGCCCACCTGCTACTTTCTTTTCATTGTGCAACCTTGGTTGTATACTGACAGAATAACTTACTTTGTACCTTGAAGAGCAACAGAGGAGGGATCCCTCTTCCAGGATGAGATACAATAAATGTTGTATGTACAGAATAGACCAAAACAACAATATGTACAATAGAATGAATAGTATAGGTAGACTGTAAACGTATATGAAGAATATGAATCAGGGAGGACATGGAGCAACTTCCAGGAGCCAGGACCAAGAATGTCTGTACAAGATTTTATTTGTCCATCCATCCATCCTTTGGTCCAGGTCCATTCCATGTGGACTAAAGTAGTGGACGGACAGACATTACCATCCATAAAGCAACACTGCTAGTGTGTCTAAAGAGTCATTCAACAGCAGACAGGTTTTTGTATTAGTCTCTCTCACTGTGGGAGGGAGTTGGGACTCCCTCCTTAGATACTACTACTACATCTTTGGCTCTGGAACTAAACTGTATGTAACAGGTAAGAATAAACCTTCATTTTCCTTCAGTTGTTTTATTGAACAAGTTGAAAATGTGTTTTTAATGAGTTTCTGCTGCTTCAGGCTTTACATGTTAGTTTTTTCATAATTAGTAGAGAATTCTTGCAGCCATGCAGCTATTGTTACATAAAAAAGGTTCATAATTCCTGAAAAGATGTTTAAATCTCACTGCACAACTGAAGTTATTCTTTATTTCTGCATGAGATCAAACTGATTTATATAGAAAAAGTATGATATTGGCAATGTTACAGATATACAGTATTTGATCATCTCAGTAATTCAGAACCATCTCCTGTTTTAATGAAACTAGATAATATATGATATTGGATATTGTTTAATGTATGACAGTAATTGTATTTTCAAAAGGAAATAAATATTTTTGATGTAAAAATGTTTTTCTTGATACATGCCTGTTAGTCTAAAATATATTTATACATGAAGACGGACACTGAATATAATATTTCAATAAATACAATGACTGCATACTAATATATTTATATTTATATAAATTAAACATTATATTTGCAGTGTTACAAATATAAAGCATTTGATTAACTCAGTAATTGAGCACCAGCTCTTGCTTTTATAAAATAGATAATATATATTATAATAAATTTAATCTAATTTATGTCAGTAAATGTGTTTTGAAAATTAAGGATAAATAATTTGTCATTTTTAACTTGTAAAATTAGCCTCATGACATTCGAAGAAAGATTTATACATGAAGGAAAAATAAATATGAAATACAACATTACAAAAAACTGAATTTATGCAAATTGGTCATATATACATATTGATTATATTATATTTATAGATTGATAAGTTCCTTTGTTATATCTATCACATGGCAGTATTCTTTAACATTCCATGTATCTTAACATTTTCATTGTAATTGTGGATAAACGTGTAAAACCTTTCTAATTGATAATGTATTGATATATTGATTTGCTTTTCAGTCGTAAATATATGTTCTAACTACTGACCACCACATCTTCATGTGCCACTGTATACATTCTGTAATCAATAAAATTACTGTTCTATCTCATATAAAAGTAAATATAGAAAAACAATTCTCTACTTTATAATCATGAATTTAATTATTGTATGAAATTATTGTTAGTATTAATCAAAATCATAATAATATGTGTGAAATTATAGTAAATGGACCGCACATTAAAACAAAGAAGTACATAATACATAATGTTCTTTATTTTGCCGTTTACCATCTGCTGACATTAGATGATTGTGTGTCTGATATGAAGGTGAATCCAGTATATGTAGTGGACTTTGTGCTGTATTGATGAGTAGTTTAGTGATCAGAGTCCATGTAGTTTCCAGGATCAGACTGAATGCAGTGCAGTGCTGTAAGCTGCTGTTGACTGTGTGAATGTGTGTCTGTGCTGCTTGTTGCTGCTGTCAAACTTCAGATAAGCAGATAGTGAAGCCCGTGGCGAGCGTGTACCCAGCAGCATCCAGAGCCCACCTGGAGGGGAAGAGCTCCCTGCTGTGTGTGGCCTCAGACATGTTTCCTCCTCTGGTGCAGTTCTCCTGGAAAAGACAAAAGGACAGTGGTCCTCTGGAGAAGGTGACCTCTGCTGACACAAAGCAGCTGAAGCTCAAAGAGTCGGGATGTACAGCCACCATCTTGCAGATCCCTCAGCAAGAGAGCAGCACATATAAATACCGCTGCTTCGTCCATCATGAGGGGGACACAGTGGAGGCCCAAATAAAACAAGGTAATGAAGGATTGGTGACTGTGTTCAGCAGTGATTCAGCTTCATGTGGAGACGCTGTCAAAGAGAGCAGAGGACTGACATTTCTTTTTGACTCCTTTTCTGTTTCAGGGGTTTCTACACTTCCGCCACCTACAACTTCACCATCACCTCCACCGTCACTTCCACCATCACTCCAACCATCACTTATTCCATCACCTCCACCATCACTTATTCCATCGTCTCCAACATCGCTTCCACCATCACTTATTCCAGCGCCTCCAGCTTCTGCCCCGTCTCAGTACCAGGTGAAGCTGCTCTGTCTGATGTACACAGTGCTGATAGTGAAGAGTCTGGTGTACTGCTGTGGACTCTCTCTGCTGATGATCCTCAGAAACAAGGGACCGTCCACCAACTGCACACATGCTGACTGACTGTTTTCTGCTCTCCTTTTCTCTCCGTCAAATCTCATCAATTCATCTCATTTATCACTTTGATCAGCAGCCAGAAATTTCAATTTAGATATAAATTGGGAAACCAATCTTTTTATAAACAGGTTTGATAAAGTGCTCCAAAAAATATAAATACATACACATACATATTTGCAGTTAGTGAGTGTAAATTCTGTGCTACTGTAGTGTTAATTGAGTTTAGTTTGGCTCTAGTTTATTTCCAATTTTTTAATTGTGACTCGTATGATCATAGAAAAGCTGAATCATTATCTGTCTGCTAGATATTCACTGTTTATTTTTTTCTATGTTCTTATTTTGCAAATTTCAGTTTGGCTTCATAGCAATAAAGTTAGAAACACAATCAATGTCACTGGCTTTGTGCTGAGCCCCTTTTATAATTGTGTCAGTGTGGATGTAAAATTCTACGCTGATGACACTGTTATTTCCACACATGAACAAACAGCAGAGCGAGCTGCTTTGAAGCTTCAACTGTTATAAAATGATGATACCGTTGCTTGATCAGTTGGTTTGAAGTTTGAATGTTGGCTAAATGATGATTGTGTATATTTTTTATAAACAGTTTGACAACGATGAAATGGATTAGTATAGTTACTGATTATACTTTAATTACGATGTATTAAAGTAAAGACAGCATCACAAAATGCTTCATAAAGAAACACAAAAGTTATACATTGTAAAAAAAAAATTTTAAAACCTTCTATTTGACATAATTTATAATAAAATTCTAATTTGAAACATGTTCAATAAGAACCAATAAATGAGAAATTATCTTTGTATTGATGATGTTAGAAATGTATGCAGGCTGTGATCCTTTCCCACATGTCCTAATATGTTGTATTATGTTACAAGTTGGAGTCAGGCTGGAGAAACTGCCATTAAACTATCACCTTTACAGAATCAATAAAACTGTTTGAATTAAAGACAACTTTCACAGTGAGTACTGAGAGCTGAAATCAAACTGAAGTTCCTGGAATGATTCTTTAACCAGAGTCGATGGTTGTAACTGTCATTGTGTTATTAATGTGAAAAAGTGCAGCTAACGGTGAGGAGGCTGCAGAGAGGAAACCCACACAGCCCGTCTGCTGCAGGAAAGGAAGTGTTGATTCGCTGTCAACAATTTTTTATGAGTCCTAATAACTACTGAGAACAGATTCATATCTGCTGCTGTACACACTCATGAACTCCTCAAACTCTGCTTAAATATTGTTTTCTAAAATTTTATAGGAATGATTTTTCATTAGTTTCTAAGTTTTGTTTTCCTTTTTTGTTCTCTGCAATCTTAACTTACACACTCTAGTAAGTGAAATTAAATGAGGAATTGGTGACAGTTTCAAGATGGTTTCACATTGCACATTAAATATTAAAAAGTGAGATTTCATAATGATTGTGGGAAGGGGCAGGAGGTATGACAGAGATTATGCTAGAGTGTCAGTAGAGGGAAAATACATATCTCAAGTTTCTCAACTAATAAGAAATTAAATTGGAAAAAACTTAAACAGGGATCATCAGAAAACTACTAATGAACTTTTTTGCTGAAAAAAACAATTTGTAAGATTGTCAACTCTCTCAAACTCTAATGAGGCCTCTGTCCTTCTTATCAGAAAACTGAACATTGTGTCAGTATATGACATTTTATTCATCAGATATTTGTGTTTTTCTGTTCCATCATCGTTTCTTCAAATTGAATTAACATATATTATTTCAAGACATGTTTCTCTCTTGATGATTAATTCATGATGTCTCATTTTTTGTTTTTATTGTTTATTGTACTCATTAGGGGAGGGGATTTCTGGCTCCTTGACCTCTGTTGACAAGTCTTATTTCTTCATGATCTGGATTTTAAACAATCTTATGAGTCAGCAATCAATAACATAAAATAATAATAAAGGTACATTTATGATATATTTAATATCATGTTAAGAGATGGTTTTTCTATCATGTATGTTATAACCCTGAACAGTTTGATCATTTTCAACATATTGCAACTGTCTCACCAGACGAGACCTGTGTGACATTACATGTCTCTGTACGGTGTTAGATAGGTGTCACACCAATAAATAAGCTCTTCCACCATGACTGTGTGACAGATTGGAAACTAAAGTTTATCATATGGTGGATTTCTGTGTTTGCTGCTGGTGCTGACATTAAACATCAGAGAGAAACACCACCACCCTGTGGTTAGTCAGAGGAAGTGCAAGGGTATCCAGAGGACGCTCATGATGGTCGCCATGACAACATGATGATGCTCTTGCCGCTAATCATTTTAGATTTTTTTAATTTTAGATAGTTCTCAGTGCCTTTAACAAAGGGAATCTAAACCATGAAGTCCCCAAATACGGACAGTTTATTAAAGGAGACATATGATGCCCCTTTTCAGGTTCATAATTGTATTTTGTGGCTCTCCTACAATAGGTTTAGATGTTTTAATCTTCAAAAAACACATTATTTTTCTCATACTGCCTATAGCACCTCTTTTCAGCCTCTGTCTGAATCGATCGGTTTCAGCTCCTGTCTCTTTAAGACCCCCCTCACGAAAAGCCCAGTCTGCTCTGATTGGTCAGCATTATGTCGCGATCACGCAGATGACGCTCTGGCCCCTCCCCTTCGTTGCCGGCAGGTAGTTCCTCACTGCTACTGAGTTTATCTGCATTTCTACCGTCAATATTAATTCAATAACTGCTTCTAAAGCAAAAACTTCACCAGCGGACATGTTAGAGCGGGAGTCTGACCTGAAATCACAGAGGAATGAACAACATCAACAATCAGGACTACAGCTTTCTGTGACGTGTTCCTCAGGTAAATACTGCTATATTAATTCATCCATATTTCATAGTCTGATTTTTTAACTTGAAAGTATTATTGCCAAAGTTAACCTTCAGATATTTGTAAAAGCTGCAATTATGTTTGGACCCTATTAAAAATACTGTATACTGAATATTCTATCATTTATATTATATACTGTATTATGATGTCATTTATCTTCCAACATAATAAAGTTTGAATGTGAGACAGTAAAGTATTGTGTTGCTTACAGTCATTAATACAGGTTTAACATTTTCATATTGATAGATGTTACACGAACCAGGTTTTCAACTCTTGTACATCCAGGAAATCTTCATAAAACCTCTGTGAAATAACATGTTATTTATATAAAACCACACTTATTACTGAATTTAAAAATGACCAAAACTCTTCTTAAAAGTAAAACACTTTGTTTCATTCACATTCCAGTTACACATGTTGTAAGTAACAAAGCTATAACTTCAATGTAAACCGTGCAGATCGTGTCCTTTACCCTGTCCGGTAACACTTTATAATGAGTACACACTATTAAGCATTAGTTAAGCATGAATAAATACTGAATTCATCATTTATAACGCATGAATACACATTAGTATGTAGTTTATAAACACAGTTAAAAATGTTTTATTCATCATTGATAAGCACATTAGTTATGGATTAGTAAATACTGAATCCATCATTTATAAAGCATGATTCTGCTGTAAATAGTCATTACTATGTGGTTTATAATCACAGTTATAAATGTTTTACTCTTCATTGTGCTGTACATTTCTGCATGCACTTGCACATCCACTATTCAGACATGTATTAATGATTAGTGACTGTGTTAGCAGATGTTCTATAAAACCCACAACAAATTCATGTTCTAATGATGGCCTATAAACAGTGATTAATGCAGGAATTCACAGTTACAAAGCACTTACTACTCGTTAATTAAGTATTTTACGCGAGCTTATCTAAAGTGAGCACTATCTATGGCTTATTAAGGATTTACAAATGAGATATAAAGGCTGACAATGCCTCGAGACTCACAAAATGTTCAGTTATCTTAACAGACGAAGGAGAGACACAACACAAAGGGATATAGAACATATTGTATTGATATTTACTGCAACTTCCCAACATATTGTATGAAGACGAACAAGGCTGGTTTATGAAGACATGCTATTGTTGTGATCTTATCTGTTTGGGACGTGTACGTTGAGCTCCCGCTCTCAGCACGTCATCAACGTGATGACGTGCTGAGAGCGGGATGTTACGTCATATTTACGTTAACTCTCAGAAGTTTCTGACAGTGCAGCCAAGGGGAGCATGGAGAAGCACATTGGAGTCGGCGGCCATCAGCGGCACTAGTGGAGAGTATGTGTCTTTGTTTGGTAGCACACATTATGGTTGAAAGATAACGTTAGCTTGTCAGCAGCTGCAGGTGTTTGCCCTCGCTCCCCGACTAACGTTACTAACGTTACTAACGTTACTAACGTTAGTAACGTTATCTTTCAACCATAATGTGTGCTACCAAACAAAGACATATACTCTCCACTAGTGCCGCTGATGGCCGCCGACTCCAATGTGCTCCTCCATGCTCCTCTTGGCTGCACTGTCAGAAACTTCTGAGAGTTAACGTAAATATGACGTAACATCCCGCTCTCATCACGTCATCAAGTTGATGACGTGCTGAGAGCGGGAGCTCAACGTACAACGTATCTCATTTGTAAATCCTTAATAAACCATAGATAGTGCTCACTTTAGATGAGCTCGTGCAAAATACTTAATTAACGAGTAGTAAGTGCTTTGTAACTGTGAATTCCTGCATTAATCACTGTTTATAGGCCATCATTAGAACATGAATTTGTTGTGGGTTTTATAGAACATCTGCTAACACAGTCACTAATCATTAATACATGTCTGAATAGTGGATGTGCAAGTGCATGCAGAAATGTACAGTACAATGAAGAGTAAAACATTTATAACTGTGATTATAAACCACATAGTAATGACTATTTACAGCAGAATCATGCTTTATAAATGATGGATTCAGTATTTACTAATCCATAACTAATGTGCTTATCAATGATGAATAAAACATTTTTAACTGTTTATAAACTACATACTAATGTGTATTCATGTGTTATAAATGATGAATTCAGTATTTATTCATGCTTAACTAATGCTTAATAGTGTGTACTCATTATAAAGTGTTACCGACTGTCCTGATGCTGCAGCTGTCTCTGTCCTCTGATGGGTCCAGGAACACCTGAGCTTCATCAGCTCACCTGTAAGACAAGGCAGATTCAGTGTTACTTGTAAGGCAGCATATAATATACAGTGTAATATAATACAGTATAATATAATACAAGTACAACAGCTCATTGTGGCTCAAAATAGTCCTAAGTTATAAAATAATAAATCAGTGTTTGACTCCACAAAACAGCCTAGTGAGCGTCGTAGTTACACAATATTACTAAACTAATGAATCCCTGCAGTTTGACCCCCCCCCCACACACACACACCACCACCACCCAAAAGATTAAATTAAAAGAGATGTGCTCAAATAAGAATAGAGGAGATAAGATAAACAGGCAAAGAGAGTTTAGATGAAATAAGACTAAAATAAATAAGATCAGAACAGCTCTTTTCAGATAGAGATTAGGTAAGAGAACTATTGTATCCATTAGAACATTAGTATCAAAGACAAAAAACAGAAACACTGAACAGTATATATCTGTTTACACCTGGTAGTAACAGGCTCCAAATGTTGTGTAGCAAATGATAAAGTCTATCTATCTCTATCTATGAATAACATAATTTACATGTTGTGACACAACAAGCATAACCAGTGTAAACATACATTAAATGATCACTTTAAACTTTGTTCTTGAGAGCTGTGATTCGATTCTTAATGTAGAACTTTATGGCCAACCAATTTCTGTTTTTGAGTGCTACTTTTTCCTGCAGAAGGCACTTATCACAGACGCTTTTCCCCGGGACGCGGCACGAAGTAATGAAGGACATCATGTGCTTCTCGACAGCAAACACCTCCTCTTTCTCCCACATCCTTTTCTTGGAAGGCTGGCGACCTGTAAAACAATAAACACAAATGAATATTTCTGTGCTTCTCTATGGAAATATTACATGAGGAACAAAAGTCAAGAAATTATTGACTATGAGACTGTGTACAAAATTTGGACAAGATAGAGGTCTGATATTGTAATAATATAGGTGCAAAATCATGTGAAACTGCATATTTTGTATTGAAAAACATACCAATTTTAAGCTACTCCAACTTGTGTGAATACGGGCTGGTCTCGTTAAAACTTTACCCCTTTTCCTTTTTGGTGATTGTTGGTGACAGGCTTGTGGAGGTGTCATTGGGCGCTGCCATGATCTTGCATCGCTATGGCTCACATCTGGCGATGTGGTCTCGTCCTCTTCCCTCTGACTAAATGTCTCCTGAGTCTCTGAAAACCAGAAAAAAACAAATTACAAAAATATCAATAATGAAATCTTATTTATACCACAGTAAATAAGACATGTCCCAAGCAGAATCTAAGGACCGGTTTTGGGACCAATCTAGGTGTGGTTTAATGGACTGGTATCAGCTAAAATACATCTGATTAAAATCTGATCCTTTCTTCTCTGTATTTTGTGTTTTGCTCAATTCGGCCTGCTAGTGTTGCTGAAATTCTCTTCATACAACCAGGCTCTACAGTGGAAGTATTTTGCTAAGAGTCTATAAGAGTCAGATCAGAGTCAGTTACAGCAGATACCAAGACTTGGAACAAGATAAGAGTCAAAACACTTGATTTTGACATCCTGGATTACCTAGGCAGGGTTACATTTAGTAATATATCAAAAGTACTTACCTTGTGAGTCTGAGTCACATGCCACCTCAGTGTCACTGTCCATGTGCGAATTTTCTGTGAGTTGGGGAGGGGATGGGAGGGAGGAGAGTGACTGTTAGTGATCATAGAATGCAATTCATTTGATTCTGACAATCAATCACTTTAGACAAGCAAATACAAGAATCCAAGAACAACAAAATAAATAATTAGTACCATCGGGATCAATGCTGATGTCATCCAGGCTCTTGCCCTTGAATTGTGCTAGGCGTCCCTGATCCAGAGCCATGAGAACTTTGCTAATTTTAGCAAGTTGGAGTGTGCCCTCAGGAAGTCTGTAGAACTGTCGATGCACCCTTATGTCATGGCCAAGGAAATCAGCTAACTGATCCAGCTCTGTATTACTGAAGTTGAGAACTTGAGACAGAGTTGCAGTTTGTTTGCGCAGTTTTGTAGAAGTGAGACTTTCAGGACTCTTTGCGCCGCAAACTTTGGAGAAGTGTCGAAGACAATCAGACCCACGGTAGCAGGTAAAAGCAGATGGTCTTGCAAATAAGTAGATGTTCTCCTGAAGAACCCCACATTCCTCCCGTTTGCTGACAAGCAGATCCAATGCTTGTTGCATTGCTGGGGTCAAAAGCACAGGAACTTTTCTTCCCCTTTTTCCTCTTATCTCTATCCTCCTGAAGTGCTGACAGAGTTTCTTTTCCAGATCTGAGAGGGCTATGTTCACATCTTCCTCAGGGTCTGTTGGATTTTGAGACAAATATGCAGAGCGGGGCATTTTTGACACCTCTCCTGCTCGCCGTCGGTTGAACAAGATGACTTCTGTCAAAGTAACCTTTGCCAGCTGTGTCCATGCCTGGGGGGGATGTCTCTGTGGACAGCTTGCTGTAACTATGTCGTTGTTGCACATCTAAATAAGAATGAGAGTCTAGACATCTTTTGTGAATGGTAGCAACAGGGGGGCATTCCACTTAGATTCCTGAAGTGTTCTCAGTGACGCAGCTGATATTAGTTCATTCCACCTGGTTTCATATACTCTGCGGAATGTACGAGCATCTTTTGCTGCACTGTAGTCAGTCTGTACATTTGCACGGCTTTCAACAAGCATCGAAGTCTTTGTTAAGCTGTGTCCAATTTTGAGAGCAAGACTTGGTCGCGTGTATGCATTGGTTTCACTGTCATAGCCAGCTACACGTTTCACTGCTTCCACAACATGCATGAAATTTACAGGTCTGACGTGGTCTTGAATGGTCTTCAAGGGAGTGGTTTTCCTAGAGCAAACCAGAAGCCGTGTTTGCCAACATCATGTCAAAGCCGGTTGTATAGATGCTCACCAAACTCCATGATACAGACATCAGATTTGACTGCAGAATAAACTTCATCTTGAATCATGTTGCTTAAGAGCTTCCAAAATTCTACTTTGACACCAGGGGGTGGAGGTGCAGCAAATGCACAGAGGGCCTGAACACGTGTTTTGCCAGGTTTTTGTGAAACACCAGGTTTGAACTTGCAGATCGTCATGTGCCGCCAAAGAACTTTCTTTGTGAAAAAGCCATGACAATATATGCAATGCAGGAAATTTTGTTTTGGTTGCTTGCGAGGAACAAGATTTCCAACACCAGAATTTAACACATCAATATTGTGTGCAAAGTTGCCCCTATTCCTCAAATGTCCCAGATGCATGCGTCTCTCTTTGGAGCCTTTTGGGAAGGACACAGCCTGTGCAACCTCTGGTTTATTCTGATGAGCACGTTCCAAATGCCTTGCCATTTTTACAACTCCCAACTTACAATACAAACAGTATTGTTTTTTGTTGTATATTCTTGATCCATTCTCCTTTTTAGAGACAGCAGGTATGGAAAGTGAACCACCAGCCACACTATCAAGTGGATGAATCAGAATGAATGAATGAATCTGATTATTCACCTTTAGAAAAGAAAATATGAATGAAATTAAAGTCAGCAAACTAATATCTTGTGTGATATATCAGTAACAAAGTGTTAATCTCTACACTGTGTCTTACCTGTATGCTTTTGGTCCTCCTCAGCAGTGGGACACACTCTTGGTCCTGTTCAGACAGGCTGAGTTCAGTCTGCAGTGACAAAAACAAATTCAAGTTATGTTATGTTTATTTGGACATTGACATAAAAGACAGATTGATAACACAATACAGGGAAATGCTAAAAACATTTATTAAACGCAATTTACCTCAGATGTCTTATCAAAATTGGCAGGACATGTAGATGAACACTGAGATTCATCAGAATCCATGTAGTTTACAACAGACTGATTCATTCCAACATTTTTCTTTGGAAGATGGAGTCCTAGTTCATCTGAGCACTATAAAAAAAAGAGACAAGTAAACAATAACGCGCAAACATAAATGCATACTTTACAAACAGGAAATTTTTAAAAAAACTTTGGAATCAAGAGAAATTTAAATTCTGCTCCTGAAGAAAATTGCACTTTGGGGGACTTACTTTAGTGGCCCAAAAAGAAGATATTTTGGTTCATACAAAAGATGAAGGCTGGCAAGACAATATTGACTTGTAACCAACAGTTGGTATGACTGGTAGAAGGCAAACTGTGCTCAGCTTCAACAACACATGCCATACATGGCATTTTTGAAGTTTAGGGACAGAAAAACTTAAAGAAGTATAGTTAATTATGTAGAATATCTTTCAGTTACCGTGGACCCCACAACAACAAAAGATCTGACAGGTGTGTGTGAGACTGGCCTTCTAAACACACTGATTGGACCCCATTAAATCACAAAAACCAGAAAGTGCTTGTTGGCAGCATATGTATGAATTCAGACTGACACTGGTGTTAAGAATTTAACCAAAATGTGCCAATACTTAATTAATCAAACTGGAGAGGCTTAAAAACTGAAGTTTTAACAGATAATTGACAAAAAAAGAAATTCAGACAAATATTAATACCTGGTTCTGGGAGCAAGTAGATCTATCAGGATCCTGGTCTTTGGTTCTGGAGATGTCAGCATGAGAAGACTCAGTGACAGTCAATGGTCCTCCAACCTGAGGATTGAGTTCAACACACATATTCAGATCATTTTGATGAGTGGTCAACACCAGCTATCATACATGAAAACTGAAACGCTATTCTGAACAATACAAAAGTTAAATTAACCAGTGGCACAACACCAGTATTGGATTAATTATTTGGCATTCAAGAACTCAATTATTTCAAACCTTTTTCCTCCAAGGCCAGTCAGTTCCTCCATAGTCATAGGTTATTTCTTCTCCAACATTAATGTCCCGCAGAGCAAAGAGACACAGGTGTGGTTTGCCTTCTGATATGACCTTCTTCATCTTGCAGTTTGGATGGTTGTGGTCATCATTGACAAGTCTTCCCAGACTGCCATCTTCTCGAGCTGCATCAATACTGCAGAAAAGACAAATCCGTGATTAGGCTTCAAAAAATTAAATCACTTCTCTCCGTTGTCAATAATCCATCAATATTTTGAAAATGTACTTCAGATTATCTGAACTGACTGATGAATTAATATCACACATTTGCTGCTTAACTGTTCAGAAATGTCAAATTCATGTAAGCCTTACCACCATGTTCTTTCTTGCCAGTGGAAGTCAAACATGAAGACTGTACATTTAACATGATATGTCCTCCTCCTCCGTTGAGATTCTTCAGAATTTATCAGTTCTCCTCTGTACTCCACCACAAAGTCTCCTTTATGGAAATGTGCCTTGGCAAACACCCCTCGACCTAGTGCACAAATACAGATACCACACTGGTTCTCACCCTAGAAGTTAGCGCAATGGACAGGATATTATTAACAGGTTTAAATTATTAAACCCCCCCAATCCTTCTCAATAAAGAAATAATTCCCTTTAAAAATAATAATTCATAATTTGGTTTTAGCATCCTTATGGCACACTATGTTGGTCAAAGTATTGTATAACCACTATAACTGGCCTGAAACAGTGGCAATATTGAAAATATTCAGTTAGGCCATCACAACAAAACTAGGCTAAGATGAACAAAATTCACTGCCTTATTTTATGCAATGATCCTTTATATTTAATAAATCCCTAAGTCTTATCAAGACTACTACATAAAACAAAAAACTACATAATATCCAAACCAAATTATATCAGATTATTACCTTTAAAAGAGTTTATGTATTTCACTTCCAACTCTGCTGTCTTGTCCAGGGCCTTGGCAGCATGTTCTACTGCATCCGTTTTGGGAGATTTCCTGCGTCTCACTGCAGCCATTGATGATCCTATAATTACATATAGTGGCGTTTTAATGTAACCAGATACTCCACTAAAGCATACACTGTATTAAAAATATTTATATGGTAGGCAACTACATCGAAACATTGAGAGTACATTTCAGCAATAATAAGTGGCTTATCTCAGTTTCAGCCCAAGAAAAATTCACAGATCCATCAGAGAAATAACTATTTAACATGAAGTTCAATTGCCATGTGTCATTAAATCACAGATCCATCAGAGAAATAACTATTTAACATTAAGTTCAATTGCCATGTGTCATTAAATCACAGATCCATCAGAGAAATAACTATTTAACATTAAGTTAAATTGCCATGTGTCATTAAATCACAGATCCATCAGAGAAATAACTATTTAACATTAAGTTAAATTGCCATGTGTCATTAAATGTCCTTCTGTGTCAGAATCAGACTTTCACCTTGAACTTAACTCAACAAAATGCTGGGCTTTTTTACTGGGGATAGTTGGCACGTTAAACTTGAAACTGGAGTTTAGATAAATAATTGTTGTCTTGTGTCACATTCATCACACTGTAATGTGGTTTATTGATTCAATTAATGATCAAACTCAGGTGGCATAACATAGCATAACATCCCACGGTAGTAAGAGAAGCAATACACAAAGCCTGTTGCTTTAAAACTTTATAATGTGCAACAGCATTGTAATAATTCACATATTTGATTTCATGTTCAGGTGAATGTGTCCTTTTTATCCATTAAAGAAACGTTTCTCTGATTTTGACCACATGCTAACATTTAGACTTAAACACTTAAACCAAATAAAATCTGCTCAGAAAGAAATCTTGATAAAAGTACTTTTATTAACGCTCTCATTTCCATGTGCAGACATCAAACACAGAAGTCCAGTGCTGCTGTTGAGGAAGGGAGCGCTTGTTTTGTGTAGTGAGCACGTCCTGTAAGGGTGGTCATGCTATCATTGCCTAAGACTCCAATGTCCCCGCCCACCAGGCACGTCACTGTACATGTATCAAGTGAACCCAAGCTGTCTTTTGATACAAACGAGGCTATTTATTCAGAAATAGATGATCAGTTTTTATTTATTGATAGAAGTTAACAAGATAACTTTTAACTCCGTTTCATTTTTAATATGTGTGATCTATATTTTTAGCTTAGCGTTAGCATCTCCGTGCTACACATACAAACATAAAATATTGCTAATTAATGTATTTACTGGCAAAAGTTTAGGATCTTATGTGTGAATATTATGGACATAGTGCATTTAATATATATGTTCAACAATTATTAATTGCTGATAGTATTGAGTCTTTACAGTTAATTAATTCAATTACCTTTAAATTACCTTTGTATTAGCAGCTAGCTAATCAAACAGTTAGCCTCCGTGGAAGTCAGCTGCTTGTGTGTGTAGAGTGTGTGTGTAGAGTGTGTGTAAAGTGTGTGTAGAGTGTGTGTAGAGTGTGTGTAGAGGTAGTACCAGAGCCCGTCTACAGAGAGCCTGGCCTCTCTCTATTAAGTCCCATTGTACTGAATACTGGTTGCAGTTCCAGCAGAGGTCCACTGGGGGCGCTCTCCCATCAGTGCAGAATGAATGGGAGCAGATGGAGCTAGACGGCTACATTTGTCTCTTTCACCTGATTGTGGTTGAGAGATCTCAGATGTGATTGTAGTTTTTAAAGTTCAACATGGGTTATAGGTCGAAAGCTGAATGAACGAGTTCTGATGTCCTTTAGATTTCTTACAGGACGAGTTGTTGTTGCCCATAACGCGCTAGCATTCTGCTAATGAACGCTGATTGGTCAGTGAAGGACTGATTACGACCAGAGATCCCGCTTGATGGCATCGTGGCATCCGAAGCCCGACCACAATGTTAAGGCGGATTTTTTTTTTTAACACAGAAACTTTTTTTGTGTTGCTGGTACTTTTATCTGCCTATCGTTACGTCTGTGTCGTCGATGCCTCGAGAGAAAAGGAAGCACAAAGAGACTCGAGGCTTGCCGTAAAGCGGTATCTCTGGCCGTACGATGTGTATGACGTCACTGACATTTTAAAAGACTTTTTAAAGAAAATAAGTGACTCTAAAGAATCTAACACCCAGCAATGTGTCATTTCTTTGCGTCCCCTTTCGAATGCAACATTCAAATTACTAGACAAACAATGATATCCTGAGAAAAGTGGATTGTGAGGGTACAGCTCCATAGAGCTCCATTCATTCTGCACTCATCCTGTGAGCGCCCTCATGTGGAACCAGAGGGGAACTGCAACAGTTCAGAACCCGGAAGTTTACTGAGAGTGGAACTTCTCTCCTTATTAGACATTCTCTGGTAGTACCACCCTCTGCCATCAGGGGGCGCTACTGAGTGAGATCGCCCACACCCCCCGAGGGTTATCGATCACACTGCCCCTCATATTACATCATAAAGTCCGACAGACTCAGTAACCATAGTAACACAGTGACATCACAGAGCTGCTGTGTGCTAATCAAAGCTACAATGCTACCAAACTAATGACCTCCGCTGCTGAATTACACACAGTACGGGGTCTTCTTCTGATCACAGCTGTATTGATCCACACGGTGAACAGATACTGAGCTACCCAGCAGATAATAAGTTACCAGGTTAAAGACAATTAAACCTATCTGACGTTATCTTCCCGGTTCTATGCAGCTCAACGAGCTAACAGCTGATGAGCAGCTACAGTTTGTTCACTCGGAGGTTTTCTGCTCTTTCTAACAGCGACACAAACATATTACTGACTGAGCACGTTTAACTCAATACAGACCAACATAAAGCCAATTTAACAGTTACAGTGTTACGGACCCCCCAGCACGAAGCTGTACATAATCAAATGATTCAAAAGCTGGTTTTGCATAATATGTCCCCTTTAAACAATCATATTTTTTAAATAGAGGACAAAATTGGTAGATCAGGACATCTCTGCACTTATTGCAGAAATATTGGAAATATTTGGATATTGCACTCAACCTTATTATGATTTTGACAGTTTTTCAGTATGCTGTCCTGACTTGTAGTAAACCTACTTCAAAAGATGTGGCTTTGCTATTTTTACTATGTATAAATCAGTAGTGAATTCATTTTTTCACAAATCTGCATTACTAGTGGCCTTTTCTGCTCTCACCAGACTGACGATACAGCTGAAATTTTCGCTGTTTGATGCCCAAATATAGCCCCTCGATGTTCCTCTGCAGGTCATTTTGGGTTGTTGCTCCTTTGAATGACAACAAATTAATTAATGCCCATCTCAGTTTACAATCAGCCTCTTTTCAGATCCCCTGTACAAGAGCAGAGCCAAATGATTCTTTAAAATATGCCATCAAATAATTTTTTCCAAGTACCTGAGGTCCGCTGCTGAACATCAGACACCCACTGCTGGACTGTGTCTTGCTGTAGAGATAACTCAGCGGTGAGTTTCTCCAGGTCCTTTGTTGCCTCTGTAATCCTTTGTACAGTCTGTCCGAAAGAAATCTGTGTTAACAAATCCTGAGACACAATTTAAAAACAAAAATGTTATTATACATATTTGCCTAGTTAGTACCTTGATGTATCTTTCGGCCAGTGTCCGGTCAAGGTTTTCTGCCTTTCGCTTGTTCCAGCCACTTGCCTGGATTGTTAGCATGTCTGTGCGAACTTGACACACAATGTATGTGCAGTAATTTAGGTTCACAGTGAGGACCAAAGGTCAGATACTACATTGATCATTCTCTAATATTGTCACATAAACCTGGAAAGAATCATACACTTAATTAACGTGTCAGAAGTTAAATTATTAGAAAGAGAATCCTGATCAGTGGAAAAGTGCTGACTAGACAATTGTTTTCAAAGGGAGCACCTATGCATGGAACTCTAAAATGCAAAGGCCGAGCCTCAGTGTTCAAACCCCTTCTCAGAATATGGGAAATATTTAAGTCTGGTGCTGTTTGTCTTCTCTGGAGTTGGACACCTGCAGAGATTTGACTCCACCTGACCACGAGGAAGCACTCTATTGTAGAGAGGTGCTACACCTTCTGGTTTGGTCGATGTGGAGAAGGATTCATACTGCAGCATGATAACGACCCCAATCACACCTCAAAGCTCTGACAGAACCACTTGAAGACCAAAGACTATAATAAAAAAAATAGCGCTACTATCAAAACAAACAATATGTCAGCTTGTGGTCTCAATTTGGACACAACTATACATGAACAATGCTTACCGGCTTTTGACATGTACTTGGAACATATGGCTGCTCGGGAGAGGAAGCTGTTAACCTGTTCAACCTCCTTCCCGATTGTTGTTCCAGCTCCTTCTTGATTGTATGTCTCCCCCCCCCATTTTAACTAACACATTTACATGAATGTTATCATTTGGAAAACAAAAAGTAGGGGCAGAGGACAGTCAATCATAATGTGTGGTACAGATGGTAAGAAATACATCTAATTGTCATTACACACATCCATTAATGCGCTTTTGCATGCATGATGGGGAGAAATGGGCGCATGTTCAGCAAGTCCTCCAGCTCTGGACAGTGGTCCACAACTCTCTGCAGATATGGCCAATATTTGCAGACCACATCAGAGCAAAGAAACTGGACGGTCTGTGAAGCTAGCTGTATCTGGAGATATAATGGGTATGCAAATATTTCTCCACAGCACGGCTTTTGAATCGATGTAATTTGCGGTTCCCATCCGCTGCAACTGCCAACATGGAGGGTGTGCATGCAGGACACTGAAAATGCTGGACCTGAGACAGCTTGTCAACCTCAAATTTGGCATAGGCCTATTCGCGGAAGGCCCTCTGCATCGTGTCCCCACATATCTTACCACTCTGAGAACAAACATTTTTTAGATCCTGTGGCGGGACAAGAATGGACCAGAATCAAAGTTCAGTGAAAACCCACTAAGGTGGGTGCTTTATTTTTCTTTGTGCAGCAAAGCAATGAGTGCAGCGGTGTAGGCCCCTCGTGGTGTGGCTGGTGTGTCGGGTTGGGTCAGGTCTTGGGGAAATCAGCTGGGTAGGCGAGGTGTGGTAGAGGGGCTCACTGGTGAAGTGGTTCATGGAGGGAGCAGGAGACCTCGAGTTCCAGTGCAGCTGGGCGGGTCGTTCGGCTCCAGTCCTCCTTGTGTTCACTTTACGGGCTTTCTGGGTGCAGGAAACAGAGCAGTGGTTAGCTGGAGAGGCAAACACAGACTCACCTCCCTTGGTCAGTGTGGCTCCTTTTGTCCTGGCCTGACGAGGGCAAACGGGAGGCAGCTTGAGGTGGTAATTAGTGGTTGCCAGCCGTGCCTTGTTGTAGCCTAGCTGCTTGGCCATGTGCTTGGGTTGACAAACACAATAGGAGGCAGCACTCCACCGGCCATGTCCTCTAGAGGGTGCTGAAGCGACCTTTGAAGGCGTGCACCCGGCATGGCAACGATTCAAGTGCCATTTGGCCACAATCCTCATACGTGGTGAACAAGTCCACCATGTACAAGGTCTAAAATTGACAGTGGCTGGCCAGTAACCACTTTCAACCAGATCACTTATGGTCACTGGCAAGGTTTTTCCACAGGAGCAGTTTACTAATGGAAGGAAGAGGTTGTATCTTCCTGAAATTTCAGAGAAAAACAATTATCTCTTGTTCACAAGAAACAAAAAACACAATATGAAGAAATACAAAAACAATGTTACCATTAACCACGGAATAATGAGTTGATCAGCAAATCAACCTCAGACATGTAGTGGGCGAGGGTTTGATCCGTCAGACGGACTGAAATCACAAAGGGAGTCCTATGTGGAATCTGGGGCCACAGCTATGCTCTACGTTTTGGCACTTTGGACCAGCGTAGACAGGGTACGTTTTTATATGAGACTGGGTTGAAAAATACATGTCACATCATTTCCTGCTCCTAAATTCTGATAAAACTGAGATGCTGCTCATTGGCCCTGCTCTACATAAACACCAGTTTGATCAAGCAACAGTAACTCTCAATGACTGTGTGATTGAACAATAAAATCTAAAATAGAAACAAAATACTAGAGATGAATTCAACAACATCAGAAGGCACTAATAGTAGAAACAGTTGTAGTAGTAGTGACAGTAGCAGTGTGAAGCAGTGTGTTGTTGCAGACACTAGAGGGCAGCAGAGTGAAGGTTTTATTCTTCACAGCAGCACAGAACAGATAGAAGTACTGTCATATAAACTGTAGTATGAGCTGATAACTACAGGTTGAAAGTGAGGGATTCACTGGAAAATAATATATGAACATAGTAAAGATGAATTCTATAACATAATTTAAAATAATTATAAAATTGGGTAATGGTTAACCTAAGGCTAAATGTTAGTCTTAATGAATATTGTATCACTGTTCTTAAAATTTGTAATGCTAATCACTAGCAAATAAAGTGAATTAAAAATAAAAGTAAGTAAAAATATTAAAGGTGCATTGCACTTATTGTGTTCATATTAAAATCATTCAGCTTTAAATTGGTTATACATTTTAATAAGTTGTAACCCAACTACACTGTGTTTGAGCTGCTTTTGTTTATTAAAATGTACATGATAAATACATTAGTAGTGATCCAATTAAATTTCATATTTAAAGTCTAAAATATTAAAATGATGTCTGGAAACAGTTAAAAACAATGTCACATATAGAAAGTGATGGTAAATAATTAATTTGTAGATGTTAAAATACCAATTCAGAATCAGAATCAGACATCCTTTAATAATCCCAGGGGGACATTACTTTTGTTACATTACTCCATACTATAATAGACATATATATATATATATATATATATATATATAGTATAATTTAAAGTCCCACTTTCAAATATGCAAAAATGGCAAGTGTAAAGTGGTCGCAGGCATAAGTGCGTTCAGCTGTTCTCTGGAGTAAACAACGGCAGCGTGTCCCGGTGGAAGCGTTATTAAAACACAAAAACTCTCTCAAACAACCTCGTTAGAGAGGGCAGGACTTCATAGAGTTACAGTGAAAAAATAAGAATGAACAAAAAGAGAATAAAAGTTAAGAAGTTAAAAAAAGCAGACTCAAAGGCTGGAGTAACAGGCAGCATGCAGCTTTACGCGCATGAGCCAATTGTTGAGGTTTATAGAAATTCATGATTAAGATTTGTTGGTGCTTAAAGTACCAGTTGCTATTACATGTGCTAATTCATTCCATTGTCAACAAAGTATGTTCTAGTCACTGGTTATTGATGCACTAAGAAAATAAGTTAATGAGGTCTCATGTTAGAAATAAGAACAGAACAGAGTAACTTAATACTCGCACTACTTGTGCAGGTTGGTTTATTGAGCTACCAGAAAGAATCTAGAGGATCCAATGATGGCGAGCCCAGAGTGACTGTGGAGGGTCGGGGACGCAGTGAGGACCGCCGCACGACCAGACACAGACAACTTTACCCATTCAGGAACAGATAAGACTGCGTACACACTATTAACTCTACCCGGGTAGTAGCAGACTCAGTGCACACACGTACAAGGATCAGGAACTGAACCCTGAACTCTGAACTCAATATCAGACTCCTTAAAGGACTATTTCTTTTATTTTACTATACAACTGAGAGAGCTCTATTTTACTTTAGATTTTATTTTCATTCCATCTAAATTGCTGTTGATATTGTTGGGTGAGGCAATAAATACTGTCAACTGTTCGATCCCCATACTAACTCGTCCTGAGCTATTAAAGGCACCACACCTCGGACCTAGCTAGATGTTAGTTGCCCTACTACTACTTCCTTTGGGTTAGCATTAGGGGCACTACAAACAGAATCCACAATAAAGATGTGATACTGTGTGTGGAAAAGGTTTTATGTGTCCTAGAAATGAAATGATGAAATGAAATGACAGAAATGTAAGGGGACGTTTAAGGCTTCAAATCACAGTTGAGGAGTTTTGTGGATTTGTAGTTTTGTATTTTCATCCCAGCTGTTAAACAACAGATAACAGTCTGTGTTACTAAATTCACCACCAACCTGAATGTGTTTGTGCCAACAGGAATGCTTTTTTCTATTTCTGCATCATCGTCACCCAGATTTTTCATCTGCTGTCAGATTCAAATCAAGACGAAGAAACTTCTCACTGAATCAGTTCAGAGAAACAGAGAAGTCTGGGAAAAAAGAATCATCCAGAAAAAAGCTCCAAATAATGAGAATAAAACAAAGAAAAAATAGTGTCAATAAGAAATTAAAAGCACACAGCAGCTTCAGCCGAGCTGTCAGTCAGCAGCGGCAGCCTTATCTGTCGGCCGCAGGGGCTGATGGGAGGTCTGAGGACCTGTTAGAAACCACGTGGCCCTCGTCTGATCTCACAGCTCGTCCTTGTTTGGCCTCAGCTGCATCAGAGCGCCACTTCTCCCCAGGTTCACCAGAGGAAACACCACTGCACAAAATGCTTTTCCTCCCAGCTGCTGCTCTGTGCTGTCTGTGTTCAGGTGAGTGTTTCCAGCCAATCAGGAGCCAACAAAGTCAACCTTTAACAAACACTGTCACACTAACCTTCATCTATCTGTCTGTTTCTCTACAGCGCTGGTTGCCATGGCAGCAGAGCTGAGTCAGGATCATTTAACATTGACCAGGAGAGTTGGTCAAACCGTCTCCTTCAGCTGTGGAGGAACTCACCAGTGTGACCATCCTTATGTATTCTGGTACCAGAAGAAAGACACAGAAACATTCAGACTGATTCTTGATATTGATAGGAGTAATGGTAACATAGATAAAAGTTACAATCATCCTCAGAAAGATGATTTCTCAGCTGTGAATAAAGAGAACGGCTGGGAGTTGCAGATCAAGACAGTTAAACTCAGTCATTCAGCCACCTACTACTGCTCCTGTTATAAGTCTGTTCCCCACAGTGAGAAATGATCCCTGCAGCCTGAACAAAAACCAACAGATGTCAAACAGTGTGTGTGACAGGAAGAGAGCAGTAAACCACAGCCCAGGTTCACATATTTCACCTCCATCTCAGCCAGAGTCACAAACATACTGAACTGAGGGACTGATTTTCTTTCCTGCTGTCAGGATTGATTTCATATTCTATTGATTGATATTTTGATCAGATATTTCAGCAGGTTTATTGTTGTTCCACACAGTGAGGAGAAAGGATACAAACAGAAGCACAATGATGAAATCAAATCAAGAGAAAACAATAAAAGTACAAACTAAACAGAAACAGATAAAAAAAATTTTGTATAATAGAAGAACAAATTCCAAAGAAGATGTTTGAGATAAAGATTCAGATCCTCCTCTTTGTTCTGCTGCTGGATACCTACAGCGTCACATTTTGAAGCGGAGGGCCACTGACCGAGCTGCAGGATTTGACCACTTGGGAGTGAGACCGGGTTGCGCCTGCAGGAATCTCTCTACACCCCCTGGGACTCTGTGTTCAAAAAGAAATGATCAAATGAAATATTTGCTCAACAGAAAGCTAAAGCTTCATCCTGCACTATTTCCACAGAATCAATGCTCCACCGCTACACAGCAAGCTCGCCAGAATTACAGCCAATATTTCAGAAGAAAACACGAGTGCTTCTTACTCAAAGCGGCGCCAAAGTGTAGCTTAATATCTGAATAAACACAAAGAATGAACAGATTCACTGGATGGGTGTCACCAGGCCCAGCCCTAACCAATTTGGTGCCCTTGGCAAGATTTTTGCATCGCAATAAATTCCACTGCCAGTTATATACAAACATATACTCACACAGGAAACTGAATAGCTCTGTCTTTGACATTTAATTTTATTTTTAGAGAAACAAGTTGCTCAATCAAAACAGTTTACAAGAAAATAATAAATTAGAAATAAATAATACAAAAAGTATAAATAGCCCACACAAAGTATAAAATTTAACTATGTACAAAATAAAAACTGTAAACAAGTGATAAAATAAATTAAACTACACCACCATATATATATATTGGCAGAGTTGTAATGGCTCACAGAATTCCAGTAGCATATGGAAATGTTTATCAGTATGTGTAACATGTAACATTGGCACAGAAACACTTTGAGTTGTTTAGAGCATTGTCTGCTGTTTATCATTTTGAGAGAGAATCTCAGTTCAAGTCTCTTAGTACTTCGGGCGGTTATGCTGGGGACACACAGTGTCTGCTCGTCTCTCTGCTTAGACACAACTTACAGTGGAATAGGCCCTTTTCACATGACGTCACACAACTTCCGTTGTGGAGCGAAGCAGGGTATCCTGACTTCCGCCTTTGCTTCCGCTATCTCACTGAGCGGTGTTTCCAAAATGGATTTCACACAGTCACTCCTCAAGCTCCCAAAATTTCGTTTAGGAGACGTACACAGACTGGCAGAAAAATTCTCAAAGACTCCAGCCTCTAAACTCGACAAGGGTTACAAGTTCTTTATAGAACAGTACCTGTTTTATTATCAAGGTAAGTGTTTTGTCGTTAGTGGAGATGCTAGGGTAATGATAACTTAACGTAGGCTACAGGCGTTTTGATCATCTATTAGTTGTCTGTTTCTCGATGAAGTTGCTATGGTAGCTTTATAAATATTATTAACAGCTGTTATTGAGTCGTGCCTTGAATAAAGTTTAATATTGTTTAGCCTTCATGTGCAATGCCGAGCCTTCTCTCACCTAACATTGTTTTGGAACAGTGTCAGACGCTGTTGACCACTCGGTCACAGTGAGAGCACGCTGTCACAGGTCAATGAAGAAAAACGAGGAGCCTCATTATCTCCAGCTTTTTTGAATAGGATTTTAGGGCTCAGTTTTAGGGCTCTTTTGTTGTGTTATGCTGCGGTTGCAGACTTTGCAGTATCCCACGAAGTTCCACTGTGGGTGTAGTGTGTTTCTCAGTCTCATGTCAGTATTTTAGGAGCCACAATCAATAAAACAGCTGCACACGTAACTGTTAAGGCCTAGGTTAGTTGAGGACAGCAAAGACTGAGAAAGACACTGTTGACGAGTGTTTACATGCGCACTAATAATCAGTGTATTATTGTATTTCTGGATTATCATTGAAGTGGCCATGTCAGTTCAATTCAATTCAATTCAAATAACTTCATGTATCCCAGAGGAGTAATTGAACAGCACACTGATCATTATTCTGGGCATGTAAATGCACTCAATGAAAAAAAAAAGTTCTTTACACCTACTGTTCCATAAGTTTATATTTTGTCACGTGACTGTTTTAATACTTTAGAAATTATTTATCAGAATCAGATCATTTAGACTGTATGAGGATTACAAATGGCTGGAATATTCTGCTTCAAAGGACCGTGTCTTCTGCTTTGCATGCCGCCACTTTCAACGTCCAGGAAACCATGGAGAGAAGGCAGCATTTACCCACGATGGCTACCAGAACTGGAAGAAGGCGACAAGTTCATTCAATACACACAATGCTAGTGTGGAGCAGTTCACTGACACTGCCACTGCCACTGCCACCGATCTCGGGCACTCAGTTTTCACAGGCCTAAAAGAAAAGCGCACAGAGCTCTCTTTCTCTTGGAGAGCCATATGGAGCAAGGCAGAGGCCCTGTGCACCAAAGTCGCAAAACCACCGTAGCTGGCGCAGTTGTATGGGATCAAAAAGGACGACCTGCTGGCCGAGGTGCACCAAATGCGCCGGCTCTTGGAAAGAAAAAAAGAACAAGATGAAACAGTCAGCAGCACACTGGAATTTCTGTCCATGCTTAAACCTTACAAAGACTCCTTTGAGGACATCTATAAACTTTTGCGCATATCTGTTACACTGCCTGTAACCTCCGCTTCATGTGAGCGCAGTTTCTCCTGCATGCGCCATGCGGCACGTAAAAACCTACCTGAGAAACAGAATGGCAAACCCTCAGCAACCTTGCCTGCCTGTCCATACACGCAGAAAGAACCAAGGCCCTGGATGTCCAGAAGATTATAGACTCATTTGCACTTAACCACAACAATAGACGCATCGTCCTCCTGTAAAACAACTCTGAGTTTTTTCCTGACGTTGCCATCATAGACTGGTTGTGATACATTTGATGATGATGATGTGACATTTAATCCGTTACACTGTAACGAATGCACAGCAGGACGTGGCATGTATTTTTGTTTGCAGTAGAACTATAATCACCAAGATTGTGATGAGCCAGTTCCTTTTACGCTCTTTAAGTGTGTGCCCAGTTAACAGGCACAGGGTGTTTGCACTTCTCGCTGTGGCTGCACTTTGTAGCCTATGTTATTCATTTCACTATTAATTTAACTTAAGTTATGATGTTGTGATCCGAGACAATATTGCCAATGCATAGTTGTTTGTTTTCATTAATTATGCATATTTGTACCTTTAATATAACAGCTTCGAAGTCATTTCGATGGTAAACGAACTCGTAGTATAGCGAATCATCCTCATAGCAAAGCTGGGGAGGGACGCCGCTGGCAGAACCAGCAATGCAAGTCTGAAGGTGGCGCCCCGCCAAATCTCGCAAGAATCACAAATTACGGCGCAACGTCACATACATCAGCGACATAATCACAATACAACATCAATGGAAAACACTAGCAGGCAATCACTCAGACGTGAATCATGGCAGATTCGGCGAAGAAAGCGCGGTCGGAAGAGTCAAGGAACAGGAAAGGAGAAACAGACAGCGTGAGGAACCGGACAAGAGTCTCACTCGGTCAGACTTTCACTCGTTGGCGAGAGCTAAAAAGCAGCAAAGGATGTAACAGCGATGCTGAACTGGCTTGTAAACTTACTTGCTTTCTATGTGGTATGTTGTTGCGCTTGCTTGTTGTATGTCAGTTTTTACGAAGTTGTTCATTCATCCATTGTTGATAATAATACCACTCAACTAATGTCCTATGTCTAGCTAGCTAGAATAGCGGAGCTGTTAGCAGACACGAGCGAGTTTGCCAGCTGAACTCAGGTGTTGTGAGGTGTATTTATCACGTAGTCCTTTCTCTGGTTCCGATGTCGTATGGCGTGTGAACTGTGCTTATGCAAACTTTAGCTGGCTAACAGTGAACTCTCGACTGTACCTTTACTTGAAATTGTGATTTTTACGAGTCAATTACATCTTACCGAGTTACGGAACCCAGGAATTCATACCTAGTTTGGAGTGCAGAAAGTTCCTACATGTGTCTCAGCTTCTCTGTGGGAATGATGTTGATCATGGTATGGTGGCCTGTGGACCTGCAGCAAGTGCTGGCTCAAATACTGGCAGCCTAGCAGTGGCTGGTACATGAGCGCACTGACACCACTCAGTATTACTTCCAAGTTCAGGAATCCTTTAACTTTCACCGCTGTTGTCCGTCTCCATGGGGACCGCTCTTATCACTATGTAGCGCCCCTAGTCTGACTAGAAGAACACACTATAGACATATATCTATAGAAGGGGGTGAACACAGTAAATGCTGAAATGATCACCTACATGTGCCCTGGAGGGGACGGGCCTGTAAAACCCTTTTTAGAAAAGATGAGCAGGGCATATGAGTACATTATTAAAAGTAAGGCAAACATCTGTTTTTTATGATTTATGCTTTGGGATCTGCTGTCATTGTGAGTAATATTTATATTAATATTATTTCAGATTCTCAAAGGATGCAATTGCCAGAAGCTCCCAGCCCATCTCCAACTCCACAGTCTACCTGCTCTCCCTCCCAACCCTCTTCTCCTCCTCATCCTCCAGACCCTTCCACCTTTCTCCCATCTACTTCTCATCCCCAAATGGACTATGAGGAGGGAGACTTACACCCTAACCCTCGTCCCTGTCCGGCCTCCAAGCACCGCCTCAGCATCTCCCTCTCAAAAAACCATGACTGAAAGTGAGTGTTAGCATTAATCACCTTCTGCCATATTTTAAGTAATGTGTCTAAAGTCATCCACCTTTGTCACAGGTGTGTCTGCACAGTGCTCCTGCTCTCCCACACCTGCTATCTCCCTGACCAGTGCAACAGGTGAAGGGAAGAAAAAGAGGAAGACAGGTATTTTTTGTTTTTGTGCTACAGCCTACTCATCAAATTAAATGTGCAATGCAATTCCTTGATAGCAGCATGATAATATTGTTTGTGTGCATGTAGACACAATGAACCAGACACATGGAAAGAGCGATTGCAAACAGAAGACTTTTCGGAGAACAGTTTTTTCCCTAATCCCTGTTATTATCAGTAACAATAAAAAACATAAAGGATTACTCACTAACTTGTCCTCATCTACAGGTAGAAGATAAATTATTCATGAGATAAAACAAAAACTAATGTGGACACATATGAGACAAGATGGACACTTTTTCTCTTCCTCTATGCGTCAGCATTGTACAGCTCAACTCTACTCTATTCACTTTTGGGTCCTCGACTTCCTTTTCCACTGTAGATAGAACTTTGGATGGGACCCCCTCAATGTAGGCAGAGGTGATTGTCAGAGCAATGAAGTTGGGAAACAAGCTTTACTTTGGTCTTGAGAAGCTGCGGCCTTTCTTTATTGACAGACTCTAAGCTACACTGTACATTTACTGCCACACTGACAACACACTACGCACATAAACAGCTACACTACTCATAACAGAGGATATGAAGCTATGTTCTGGACAAGTCTGGACTTTGTCAGTTGACCACAGCATGGTGTTGTGGGCTGCCATTTTTGAGTGAATAAAAAAAACGTAACTATTAATGATAGTTTGGCTTTTTAAAAATCTAGGCTTTATGCAGGACGTCAACTGTCATGTGACTCATCAGTGGTTGGCAGTAATGTCACACCACCTTTTAGTATCAGATCAGCTAGCTCGGAACCTTGACCAAGGTGTACCAGGTCCACAATAACAATCAAAGAACAGTGAATAGGTGAGATATCATGATCAAGAAGGTGGTTCAAACCCAGGGTGAAGCTCAGCCATTGCTTCGGTTGTGCTGACCCCTGTGAGTTCTTGACAGTGGAAATGCAGCTGTATTTACCTGGGGGATGTCATAGTCTGTTTCTACATTTATTCTCCTTCTTTCTTCTGTTTGTTTTTAGCATAATTTTAGGCTTCCGAAAATGTTAGAAGCAAAAAATATTTCACTACAATGAAATAAAAGAAACAACTTAAGGAGGTAATTAACTGAGTGAGTGAAATAGCAGTTCATTTAACAGTGGTTGCTGGAATGGCTAACACTTCTTTTTGTCTGTGTGTGTGTGTGTGTGTGTGTGTGTTTCTGTGATTCTGTGTGTGTGTGTGTGTGTGTGTGTGTGTGTGTGTGTGTGTGTGTGTGTGTGTGTGCAGGGAAGAGAAGAGGTAAAAGTGAGCTGGCTGCCTTGTTCCTCGTGGTAAGAGCTCAGAACTTTGACCCACATTAGCTGATTTTAAAGCTTTTTTTACAGTATGCTTTATAAATATATATGTACTTACTTCCACACTGGTTAGTAGCAGGCTTCTGTTGTTCTATGATACCCCATTGATATAAACTAATATTGTGGTATATGCAATGATCTTACACTTGTTTGCATTCATTATTTTTTTTCAGTGGCAAAACTTGGGAAGACACCTGGGAGCCTGCCAGCAACTTTATAGGCCCCAATTAATGTTTTTGTTTGTGTGTCTTTAAGACACCTGTATGTTGAATGTTGTTCTCTCTCTCTCTCTCTCTCTCTCTCTCTCTCTCTCTCTCTCTCTGTGCATGAATAAAAATAAAGATTTGTTCATTTGTTTTATTTCAGTTCAGTTTCAGTTTGCCTTTTTCATTACATTTTGAATAAATGTTTCTTTCACACACTCATCCACATCTCCTTTAGTTTTTAATATGCAAGTCATATATACAATGTTACACCAAAATATACATAGGGATGTGTAAAAACATCAGTATGTACAGAATCAATGGCATATATGCAGTCAGTGTTGTACTGACCGAGGTTGTGAAAACAGTCCGACACAAAGTGGTTCACACACAAAACCAAAATAAAAAAATAAAATAAATACAATTATGAACCTGAAAAGAGGAATAATATGTCTCCTTTAAGCATGTTGTTCTCTAGCCAATGTCTACAGGTCCAGGAAATGGTCAAAACAAACCTGCTGCTTAGCCAAAAGGAGCTCTGTACGTCTGCACTCGATTGCTCTTCCTGAACACCTTGACCCGTCTGTGACCTTAAAACTGTAATCTAGTGGTTTGAAATTGGTTTTTAATTTAAAATTTTTTTTTTTTAGTTTGATTTTTAAAAAATTATAAAAAGTTTTTTTTTTTGGGGGGCTTAAATTTTGTTTTAAAATAAAAAATTTAAATTTTTTTTATTTTTTTTTTTAATGCAATTATTCAAGTTGAGCAATTCAGATTCAGTTTCTACTGACACAAAAATCAGCCCATACCATCGCTCTTACTAGGTTGGGTGAGTTGGACCTCTACATTATTCAAATGAGGGAGCGTGAAGTTGAAAAGTTTACACTGTTCACAATGATACAAACAGTACCAAGGTGAGTTCAAACATTAGGAAACATTCCTGTAGCTCCGATTGGTTTAATAAAAGTATCTCAATGAAAGGCATCTTCACACAACAAGCTACATCAACAGCTAATAACGGACGAGGCCTCTTAGCATGTAGCAACCAGGCTAACCGGAGTTTCTCTCAGAGGCTCACTCAGTGAAGCTCCTCTTATCCACATAATGTACAATTCTTGTTCCTAATGAGCAAGAGACTTAGATTATTATTATCATTTATATATTATAATGTATGTATATTTGACTGTTTCATCTCCACTTTAAGACTCATCCCTTCACCCAATGAACCAATATCACAAATCACAAACTGGCCTCAAGGGGCTTTACAATCTGTACAGCATACGACACCCTCTATCCTCACAGCCTCCATTCAGATAAAGAGAAACTCCACAAAAACCCTTTAACAGGTGAAAAATCAAGGTGGAAAACTCCTGATTATTTCTACTGCTTTGGGAACGGCTGCACATTCAGATGCTGCGGTCGGTAGGCTAGCTCCTTCAAACTTCTCTGTTTAGGTTCAATCTGTTTTCAGCTTTATTGCTCAAACACGTATTACCTCTGACAGAAATAGACTGCAGTCATCAGCAAAGGAAGTGTGGGGTTTGGATTAAAGAGACGATCCACCCAGCCAGAACGGCAGGACCAGCCCACCTGCTACTTTCTTTTCATTGTGCAACCTTGGTTGTATACTGACAGAATAACTTACTTTGTACCTTGAAGAGCAACAGAGGAGGGATCCCTCTTCCAGGATGAGATACAATAAATGTTGTATGTACAGAATAGACCAAAACAACAATATGTACAATAGAATGAATAGTATAGGTAGACTGTAAACGTATATGAAGAATATGAATCAGGGAGGACATGGAGCAACTTCCAGGAGCCAGGACCAAGAATGTCTGTACAAGATTTTATTTGTCCATCCATCCATCCTTTGGTCCAGGTCCAATCCATGTGGACTAAAGTAGTGGACGGACAGACATTACCATCCATAGAGCAACACTGCTAGTGTGTCTAAAGAGACATTCAACAGCAGACAGGTTTTTGTATTAGTCTCTCTCACTGTGGGAGGGAGGTTGGTACCTCATCTTTGGCTCTGGAACTAAACTGTATGTAACAGGTAAGAATAAACCTTCATTTTCCTTCAGTTGTTTTATTGAACAAGTTGAAAATGTGTTTTTAATGAGTTTCTGCTGCTTCAGGCTTTACATGTTAGTTTTTTCATAATTAGTAGAGAATTCTTGCAGCCATGCAGCTATTGTTACATAAAAAAGGTTCATAATTCCTGAAAAGATGTTTAAATCTCACTGCACAACTGAAGTTATTCTTTATTTCTGCATGAGATCAAACTGATTTATATAGAAAAAGTATGATATTGGCAATGTTACAAATATACAGTATTTGATCATCTCAGTAATTCAGAAGCATCTCCTGTTTTAATGAAACTAGATAATATATGATTAAGTATTTAATATTTGTCAGTATGTGTCTTTAAATGTTTGTATAAGAAAAAAGTGTTTTAATGGTAAGATTTTGCTAATTGTTTTGTATATGATGTTATAAATGTCTTTAAAAGGAAAATTCATATTCATATATTCATAGCTGAAGGCCAACAGATACTGGATTTAATTATAACAAATACACCTCAACATATATTTTAATGATGTCAGTGATCATTGTGCAATATTGGCAATGTTACAGATATACAGTATTTGATCATCTCAGTAATTCAGAACCTCAGTGGGTAGAATTCAATTTCAATTCAATTTTATTTGTATAGCGCCAATTCATAACAGAAGTTATCTCAGGACACTTTTCAAATAGAGCAGGTCTAGACCGAACTCTTTAAAACATTAATTACAGAGACCCAACAGCTGAGCAAGCACTTGGCGACAAGGGCAAGGAACAACTGCCTGTTAAAAGGCAGAAACCTAGGACAGATCCTTCGGCTCTAGGTTGGTGGTCTTCTGTCTCTACCAGTTGGGGTGAAAGAGAGAGAGAGAGAGAGAGAGAGAGAGAGAGAGAGAACTGGCGACCCATGTATCAAGTCCTTGCTGCAGCGGCCCAGGGTTCGAATCCGACCTGCAGCCCCTTGCTGCGTGTCATCCCCTCTCTCTGCCCCCCCTTCCTGTCTGTCTTCAGCTGTCACTATCATAAACGCAATAAAAGGCCCCAAAAATAATACTTAATAAAAATAATAATAATAATAATTATAACACATAGCGTAAATATGTATCAAATATTGAACATATTATACTTTCACAAACTATTCAATCAATCAGATTTTCAAAACAAACACAAAGATAAAAATAAATAAAATTAAATACAGTTAATAAGACCTTACAGATATAACAATAGTGTTTAAAGCTATACTAAAACTAGATCAAATAGATTAAGAAAATCAATAAGATTGATTAAAAAGCAAATAAAGAAAGTGATCAAATACATTAACAATGAAATTTACAAGGAAATATGATAAAATAACAGAATAAAATGAGGTGAATAATATCTAAAAAACATTTTAGCTACAGAGTTCACTTTGAGTTTACATTTAAAGATTTCTACATTTATTTTATTTTATGACGTTATATTAATTATTCTCCCATGAAGGATCAATAAAGTCTCATATCCGTAGATATCTGGCAGTTAGAGTGAAGAATATTGGTAAATATATAATATATCTAATATATTGTAATCATCCATCGGCTGTTGTGTTTGATGTTAAGATCAATTTGTCCTTTGCTATAAAAAATAACATTAACCATAATATATAAAATACTTTTTCTTTTCTTGAAGGCAGATTGAAGAATTGAACTTTGTGCTGTATTGATGAGTAGTTTAGTGATCAGAGTCCATGTAGTTTCCAGGATCAGACTGAATGCAGTGCAGTGCTGTAAGCTGCTGTTGACTGTGTGAATGTGTGTCTGTGCTGCTTGTTGCTGCTGTCAAACTTCAGATGAGCAGATAGTGAAGCCCGTGGTGAGGGTGTACCCAGCAGCATCCAGAGCCCACCTGGAGGGGAAGAGCTCCCTGCTGTGTGTGGCCTCAGACATGTTTCCTCCTCTGGTCCGGTTCTCCTGGAAAAGACAAAAGGACAGTGGTACTGAGGAAGACGTGACCTCTGCTGACAAAAAGCAGCTGAAGCTCAAACAGTCGGGATGTACAGCCACCATCTTGCTGATCCCTCAGCGAGAGAGCAGCACATATAGATACCGCTGCTTCGTCCATCACGAGGGGGCCACAGTGGAGGCCCAAATAAAACAAGGTAATGAAGGATTGGTGACTGTGTTCAGCAGTGATTCAGCTTCATGTGGAGACGCTGTCAAAGAGAGCAGAGGAGCAGAGGACTGACATTTCTTTTTGACTCCTTTTCTGTTTCAGAGGTTTCTACTCTTCCGCCACCTACAACTTCACCATCACCTTCACCGTCACTTCCACCATCACTGCCACCATCACTTATTCCATCGTCTCCAACATCACCTCCACCATCACTTATTCCAGCGCCTCCAGCTTCTGCCCCGTCTCAGTACCAGGTGAAGCTGCTCTGTCTGATGTACACAGTGCTAATAGTGAAGAGTCTGGTGTACTGCTGTGGACTCTCTCTGCTGATGATCCTCAGAAACAAGGGACCGTCCACCAACTGCACACATGCTGACTGACTGTTTTCTGCTCTCCTTTTCTCTCCGTCAAATCCCATCAATTCATCTCATTTATCACTTTGATCAGCAGCCGGAAATATCAATTTAGATTTTAATTGGGAAACCAATCTTTTTATAAACAGGTTTGATAAAGTGCCTCAAAAAATCTAAATACATACACATACACATACATATTTGCAGTTAGTGAGTGTAAATTATGTGCTACTTTAGCGTTAGCTTAGCTTAGTTTAGCTCTAGTTTATTTCCACTTTTTTAATTGTGACTCGTATAATCATAGAAAAGCTGAATCATTACCTGTCTGCTAGATATTTACTGTTTATATTTTCTATGTTCTTATTTTCTGTTTTTGTATTTGTGAATTTCAGTTTGGCTTCATAGAAAAAAATTAGAAACACAATAAGTGTCATTGGCTTTAGTGCTGAGGCCCTTTTATAATTGTGTCAGTGTGGATGTAAAACTCTACGCTGACGACACTGTTATTTCCACACATGAACAAACAGCAGAGCGAGCTGCTTTGAAGCTACAACTGCTATAAAATGATGATACAGTGGCTTGATCAGTTGGACTGAAGTTTGAATGTTGGCTAAATGATGGTTGTGTTTATTTTTGACAAACCAATAAAATGCGACTTAATTCTAACAGTTTGATAACGAGTAAATTGATTTGTTTTGTTACTGATTATACTTTAACCAGATGTATATTCATTTTTATTTTTTTATTATTTTTTAAAACACATTTAAAGACAGAATCACAGAATGCTTCAAAAAAGTTATACATTGTAGAAAAATATTTTTAAAACTTTGAAAACTTTAAAACTATTTGACATAATTTAAATTAGAAATTGACTTTGTATTGATTTTAAAAATGTATGCGGACTATTATCCTTTCCACATGTCCTTGCTATGCTATATTATGTTACAAGTTGGAGTCAGGCTGGAGAAACTGTCATTAAACTGTCACCTTGACAGAATCAATAAAACAGTTTGAATATTATTATATTCAGACAACTTTCACAGTGAGTACTGAGAGCTGAAATCAAACTGAAGTTCCTGGAATGATTCTTTAACCAGAGTCGATGGTTGTAACTGTCATTGTGTTATTAATGTGAAAAAGTGCAGCTAACGGTGAGGAGGCTGCAGAGAGGAAACCCACACAGCCCGTCTGCTGCAGGAAAGGAAGTGTTGATTCGCTGTCAACAGTTTTTTATGAGTCCTAATAACCACTGAGAACAGATTCATATCTGCTGCTGTACACACTCATGAACTCCTCTCCCTCTCTGCAGTTCTTTGTCTTTTCTCAGGTTGTCCATAGTTCTGTGAATTTAACATTTTATTTGCTTAAATATTGCATTTTGAAAATATTTTCTTAAATCTTCTTTAAATAGAATAACACTGTCAAACCAAACCAGATAAATGTGAGTCTGTGTTCAGTAATATTGTAACACTTTACACTCCTTTTTTGTTAATGCAGTCTTGACTAACACACTCTAATGAGTGAAATCAAATGACCAACTATCATTGTACTGTATTATAGGCGTAAGGAGTTGGTTTTAATTCTATTAATTCAAAATATAAAGACAAACCAAACCAAACAAGACAACTGTCACTCTGTCCTATAAGAAGCTTTAGAGTTCCTATATGTACCATAACCATCTAGGTCACTTATCTTTTATTTTCTCATTACACTCTTTCCTATTTGGTTTGCTGATATCTCATGAATTCTGAAAGTGTGTATGTTAGTGTAATTTTGTGTTAATTATTAATAAATAATAAAAAATTAGCAATTGGTGAGAGTTGTATGATGGTTTCAACTCAAAAAGCTCTCATTAAATATTAAAAAGTCAAATTTCATAATATTAGCAGGAAGGGAAGAAGTGAAGTCACTGGGGATCATCAGCAATATGTGAAGTTTCATGAATGTTTCTCGTTTATGAATGTATTATTCCAGGATTCATCCCTGTTTGATTTAATATTATAATATTAACTATATTAATATTGTTCAGTCACATACGTACCCCTCCAATATTCATAAACTTTATGTCTCAAACTCTAACGAGGCCTCTGTCTTCCTGTTTAGAAAATTGAACATTCAGTCAGTAAATGACATTAATATTCATCACAGATCTTGTAAACAAATATATTTTCTTCTTTTCTACCATAATCGTTTGTTCAAATGTAGTCATTTAATATTATTTTAGGGATGTTTTTTTAATTATGTTTGTTCTAAAACTTTGATCATTTTCACCATGAAACACTGTTGGAAGAATGACAACATATTGCAACTGTCTCACCAGACGAGACCTGTGTGACCTTACATGTCTCTGTACGGTGTTAGATAGGTGTCACACCAATAAATAAGCTCTTCCACCATGGCTGTGTGACAGATTGGAAACTAAAGTTTATCATATGGTGGATTTCTGTGTTTGCTGCTGGTGCTGACATTAAACATCAGAGAGAAACACCACCACCCTGTGGTTAGTCAGAGGAAGTGCAAGGGTATCCAGAGGACGCTCATGATGGTCGCCATGACAACATGATGATGCTCTTGCCGCTAATCATTTTAGATTTTTTTATTAGAATTATAGTTCTCAGTGCCTTTAACAAAGGGAATCTAAACCATGAAGTCCCCAAATACGGACAGTTTATTAAAGGAGACATATGATGCCCCTTTTCAGGTTCATAATTGTATTTTGTGGCTCTCCTACAATAGGTTTAGATGTTTTAATCTTCAAAAAACACATTATTTTTCTCATACTGCCTATAGCACCTCTTTTCAGCCTCTGTCTGAATCGATCGGTTTCAGCTCCTGTCTCTTTAAGGCCCCCCTCACGAAAAGCCCAGTCTGCTCTGATTGGTCAGCATTATGACGCGATCACGCAGATGACGCTCCGGCCCCTCCCCTTCGTTGCCGGCAGGTAGCTCCTCACTGTTACTGAGTTTATCTGCATTTCTACCGTCAATATTAATTCAATAACTGCTTCTAAAGCAAAAACTTCACCAGCGGACATGTTAGAGCGGGAGTCTGACCTGAAATCACAGAGAAATAAACAACATCAACAATCAGGATTACAGCTTTCTGTGACGTGTTCCTCAGGTAAATACTGCTATATTAATTCATCCATATTTCATAGTCTGATTTTTTAACTTGAAAGTATTATTGCCAAAGTTAACCTTCAGATATTTGTAAAAGCTGCAATTATGTTTGAACCCTATTAAAAATACTGTATACTGAATATTCTATCATTTATATTATATACTGTATTATGATGTCATTTATCTTCCAACATAATAAAGTTTGAATGTGAGACAGTAATGTATTGTGTTGCTTACAGTCATTAATACAGGTTTAACATTTTCATATTGATAGATGTTACACGAACCAGGTTTTCAACTCTGTACATCCAGGAAATCTTCATAAAACCTCTGTGAAATAACATGTTATTTATATAAAACCACACTTACTCAATTTAAAAATGACCAAAACTCTTCTTAAAAGTAAAACACTTTGTTTCATTCACATTCCAGTTACACATGTTGTAAGTAACAAAGCTATAACTTCAATGTAAACCGTGCAGATCGTGTCCTTTAGACTGTCCTGATGCTGCAGCTGTCTCTGTCCTCTGATGGGTCCAGGAACACCTGAGCTTCATCAGCTCACCTGTAAGACAAGGCAGATTCAGTGTTACTTGTAAGGCAGCATATAATATACAGTGTAATATAATACAGTATAATATAATACAAGTACAACAGCTCATTGTGGCTCAAAGTAGTCCTAAGTTATAAAATAATAAATCAGTGTTTGACTCCACAAAACAGCCTAGTGAGCGTCGTAGTTACACAATATTACTAAACTAATGAATCCCTGCAGTTTGACTATTTCTCTCACCGTAGCTCTATCGTTAACTCTGGTGCACGTAGATCACACACACACACACACACACACACACACACACACACACACACACACCGAGGGTTATCGATCACACTGCCCCTCATATTACATCATAAAGTCCAACAGACTCAGTAACCATAGTAACACAGTGACATCACAGAGCTGCTGTGTGCTAATCAAAGCTACAATGCTACCAAACTAATGACCTCCGCTGCTGAATTACACACAGTACGGTGTCTTCTTCTGATCACAGCTGTATTGATCCACACGGTGAACAGATACTGAGCTACCCAGCAGATAATAAGTTACCAGGTTAAAGACAATTAAACCTATCTGACGTTATCTTCCCGGTTCTATGCAGCTCAACGAGCTAACAGCTGATGAGCAGCTACAGTTTGTTCACTCGGAGGTTTTCTGCTCTTTCTAACAGCGACACAAACATATTACTGACTGAGCACGTTTAACTCAATACAGACCAACATAAAGCCAATTTAGCCCGGTCACAAAACCCACAACAGTTACAGTGTTACGGAGCCCCCCCCAGCACGAAGCTGTACATAATCAAATGATTCAAAAGCTGGTTTTGCATAATATGTCCCCTTTAAACAATCATATTTTTTAAATAGAGGACAAAATTGGTAGATCAGGACATCTCTGCACTTATTGCAGAAATATTGGAAATATTTGGATATTGCACTCAACCTTATTATGATTTTGACAGTTTTTCAGTATGCTGTCCTGACTTGTAGTAAACCTACTTCAAAAGATGTGGCTTTGCTATTTTTACTATGTATAAATCAGTAGTGAATTCATTTTTTCACAAATCTGCATTACTAGTGGCCTTTTCTGCTCTCACCAGACTGACGATACAGCTGAAATTTTCGCTGTTTGATGCCCAAATATAGCCCCTCGATGTTCCTCTGCAGGTCATTTTGGATTGTTGCTCCTTTGGATGATGACAAACAAATTAATTAATGCCCATCTCAGTTTACAATCAGCCTCTTTTCAGATCCCCTGTACAAGAGCAGAGCCAAATGATTCTTTAAAATATGCCATCAAATAATTTTTTCCAAGTACCTGAGGTCCGCTGCTGAACATCAGACACCCACTGCTGGACTGTGTCTTGCTGTAGAGATAACTCAGCGGTGAGTTTCTCCAGGTCCTTTGTTGCCTCTGTAATCCTTTGTACAGTCTGTCCGAAAGAAATCTGTGTTAACAAATCCTGAGACACAATTTAAAAACAAAAATGTTATTATACATATTTGCCTAGTTAGTACCTTGATGTATCTTTCGGCCAGTGTCCGGTCAAGGTTTTCTGCCTTTCGCTTGTTCCAGCCACTTGCCTGGATTGTTAGCATGTCTGTGCGAACTTGACACACAATGTATGTGCAGTAATTTAGGTTCACAGTGAGGACCAAAGGTCAGATACTACATTGATCATTCTCTAATATTGTCACATAAACCTGGAAAGAATCATACACTTAATTAACGTGTCAGAAGTTAAATTATTAGAAAGAGAATCCTGATCAGTGTAAAAGTGCTGACTAGACAATTGTTTTCAAAGGGAGCACCTATGCATGGAACTCTAAAATGCAAAGGCCGAGCATCAGTGTTCAAACCCCTTCTCAGAATATGGGAAATATTTAAGTCTGGTGCTGTTTGTCTTCTCTGGAGTTGGACACCTGCAGAGATTTGACTCCACCTGACCACGAGGAAGCACTCTATTGTAGAGAGGTGCTACACCTTCTGGTTTGGTCTATGTGGAGAAGGATTCATACTGCAGCATGATAACGACCCCAATCACACCTCAAAGCTCTGACAGAACCACTTGAAGACCAAAGACTAATAAAAAAAAATAGCGCTACTATCAAAACAAACAATATGTCGGCTTGTGGTCTCAATTTGGACACAACTATACATGAACAATGCTTACCGGCTTTTGACATGTACTTGGAACATATGGCTGCTCGGGAGAGGAAGCTGTTAACCTGTTCAACCTCCTTCCCGATTGTTGTTCCAGCTCCTTCTTGATTGTGTGTCTCCCCCCCATTTTAACTGTAACACATTTACATGAATGTTATCATTTGGAAAACAAAAAGTAGGGGCAGAGGACAGACAATCATAATGTGTGGTACAGATGGTAAGAAATACATCTAATTGTCATTACACACATCCATGAATGCGCTTTTGCATGCATGATGGGGAGAAATGGGCGCATGTTCAGCAAGTCCTCCAGCTCTGGACAGTGGTCCACAACTCTCTGCAGATATGGCCAATATTTGCAGACCACATCAGAGCAAAGAAACTGGACGGTCTGTGAAGCTAGCTGTATCTGGAGATATAATGGGTATGCAAATATTTCTCCACGGCACGGCTTTTGAACCGATATAATTTGCGGTTCCCATCCGCTGCAACTGCCAACATGGAGGGTGTGCATGCAGGACACTGAAAATGCTGGACCTGAGACAGCTTGTCAACCTCAAATTTGGCATAGGCCCATTCGCGGAAGGCCCTCTGCATCGTGTCCCCACATATCTTACCACTCTGAGAGCAAACATTTTTTAGATCCTGTGGCGGGACAAGAATGGACCAGAATCAAAGTTCAGTGAAAACCCACTAAGGTGGGTGCTTTATTTTTCTTTGTGCAGCAAAGCAATGAGTGCAGCGGTGTAGGCCCCTCGTGGTGTGGCTGGTGTGTCGGGTTGGGTCAGGTCTTGGGGAAATCAGCTGGGTAGGCGAGGTGTGGTAGAGGGGCTCACTGGTGAAGTGGTTCACGGAGGGAGCAGGAGACCTCGAGTTCCAGTGCAGCTGGGCGGGTCGTTCGGCTCCAGTCCTCCTTGTGTTCGCTTTACGGGCTTTCTGGGTGCAGGAAATAGAGCAGTGGTTAGCTGGAGAGGCAAACACAGACTCACCTCCCTTGGTCGGTGTGGCTCCTTTTGTCCTGGCCTGACGAGGGCAAACGGGAGGCAGCTTGAGGTGGTAATTAGTGGTTGCCAGCCGTGCCTTGTTGTAGCCTAGCTGCTTGGCCATGTGCTTGGGTTGACAAACACAATAGGAGGCAGCACTCCACCGGCCATGTCCTCTAGAGGGTGCTGAAGCGACCTTTGAAGGCGTGTACCCGGCATGGCAACGATTCAAGTGCCATTTGGCCACAATCCTCATACGTGGTGAACAAGTCCACCATGTACAAGGTCTAAAATTGACAGTGGCTGGCCAGTAACCACTTTCAACCAGATCACTTATGGTCACTGGCAAGGTTTTTCCACAGGAGCAGTTTACTAATGGAAGGAAGAGGTTGTATCTTCCTGAAATTTCAGAGAAAAACAATTATCTCTTGTTCACAAGAAACAAAAAACACAATATGAAAAAATACAAAAACAATGTTACCATTAACCACGGAATAGTGAAATCACAAAGGGAGTCCTATGTGGAATCTGGGGCCACAGCTATGCTCTACGTTTTGGCACTTTGGACCAGCGTAGACAGGGTACGTTTTTATATGAGACTGGGTTGAAAAATACATGTCACATCATTTCCTGCTCCTAAATTCTGATAAAACTGAGATGCTGCTCATTGGCCCTGCTCTACATAAACACCAGTTTGATCAAGCAACAGTAACTCTCAATGACTGTGTGATTGAACAATAAAATCTAAAATAGAAACAAAATACTAGAGATGAACTCAACAACATCAGAAGGCACTAATAGTAGAAACAGTTGTAGTAGTAGTGACAGTAGCAGTACAGTTTGAAGCAGTGTGTTGTTGCAGACACTAGAGGGCAGCAGAGTGAAGGTTTTATTCTTCACAGCAGCACAGAACAGATAGAAGTACTGTCATATAAACTGTAGTATGAGCTGATAACTACAGGTTGAAAGTGAGGGATTCACTGGAAAATAATATATGAACATAGTAAAGATGAATTCTATAACATAATTTAAAATAATTATAAAATTGGGTAATGGTTAACCTAAGGCTAAATGTTAGTCTTAATGAATATTGTATCACTGTTCTTAAAAATTGTAATGCTAATCACTAGCAAATAAAGTGAAGTAAAAATAAAAGTAAGTAAAAATATTAAAGGTGCATTGCACTTATTGTGTTCATATTGAAATCATTCAGCTTTAAATTGGTTATACATTTTAATGAGTTGTAACCCAACTACACTGTGTTTGAGCTGCTTTTGTTTATTAAAATGTACATGATAAATACATTAGTAGTGATCCGATTAAATTTCATATTTAAAGTCTAAAATATTAAAATGATGTCTGGAAACAGTTAAAAACAATGTCACATATAGAAAGTGATGGTAAATAATTAATTTGTAGATGTTAAAATACCAATTCAATCAGAATCAGACATCCTTTAATAATCCCAGGGGGAAATTACTTTTGTTACATTACTCCATACTATAATAGACATATATATATATATATATATATATATATATATATATATATATAATTTAAAGTCCCACTTTCAAATATGCAAAAATGGCAAGTGTAAAGTGGTCGCAGGCATAAGTGCGTTCAGCTGTTCTCTGGAGTAAACAACGGCAGCGTGTCCCGGTGGAAGCGTTATTAAAACACAAAAACTCTCTCAAACAACCTCGTTAGAGAGGGCAGGACTTCATAGAGTTACAGTGAAAAAATAAGAATGAACAAAAAGAGAATAAAAGTTAAGAAGTTAAAAAAAGCAGACTCAAAGGCTGGAGTAACAGGCAGCATGCAGCTTTACGCGCATGAGCCAATTGTTGAGGTTTATAGAAATTCATGATTAAGATTTGTTGGTGCTTAAAGTACCAGTTGCTATTACATGTGGTAATTCATTCCATTGTCAACAAAGTATGTTCTAGTCACTGGTTATTGATGCACTAAGAAAATAAGTTAATGAGGTCTCATGTTAGAAATAAGAACAGAACAGAGTAACTTAATACTCGCACTACTTGTGCAGGTTGGTTTATTGAGCTACCAGAAAGAATCTAGAGGATCCAATGATGGCGAGCCCAGAGTGACTGTGGAGGGTCGGGGACGCAGTGAGGACCGCCGCACGACCAGACACAGACAACTTTACCCATTCAGGAACAGATAAGACTGCGTACACACTATTAACTCTACCCGGGTAGTAGCAGACTCAGTGCACACACGTACAAGGATCAGGAACTGAACCCTGAACTCTGAACTCAATATCAGACTCCTTAAAGGACTATTTCTTTTATTTTACTATACAACTGAGAGAGCTCTATTTTAGTTTAGATTTTTATTTTCATTCCATCTAAATTGCTGTTGATATTGTTGGGTGAGGCAATAAATACTGTCAACTGTTCGATCCCCATACTAACTCGTCCTGAGCTATTAAAGGCACCACACCTCGGACCTAGCTAGATGTTAGTTGCCCTACTACTACTTCCTTTGGGTTAGCATTAGGGGCACTACAAACAGAATCCACAATAAAGATGTGATACTGTGTGTGGAAAAGGTTTTATGTGTCCTAGAAATGAAATGATGAAATGAAATGACAGAAATGTAAGGGGACGTTTAAGGCTTCAAATCACAGTTGAGGAGTTTTGTGGATTTGTAGTTTTGTATTTTCATCCCAGCTGTTAAACAACAGATAACAGTCTGTGTTACTAAATTCACCACCAACCTGAATGTGTTTGTGCCAACAGGAATGCTTTTTTCTATTTCTGCATCATCGTCACCCAGATTTTTCATCTGCTGTCAGATTCAAATCAAGACGAAGAAACTTCTCACTGAATCAGTTCAGAGAAACAGAGAAGTCTGGGAAAAAAGAATCATCCAGAAAAAAGCTCCAAATAATGAGAATAAAACAAAGAGAAATAGTGTCAATAAGAAATGAAAAGCACACAGCAGCTTCAGCCGAGCTGTCAATCAGCAGCGGCAGCCTTATCTGTCGGCCGCAGGGGCTGATGGGAGGTCTGAGGACCTGTTAGAAACCACGTGGCCCTCGTCTGATCTCACAGCTCGTCCTTGTTTGGCCTCAGCTGCATCAGAGCGCCACTTCTCCCCCAGGTTCACCAGAGGAAACACCACTGCACAAAATGCTTTTCCTCCCAGCTGCTGCTCTGTGCTGTCTGTGTTCAGGTGAGTGTTTCCAGCCAATCAGGAGCCAACAAAGTCAACCTTTAACAAACACTGTCACACTAACCTTCATCTATCTGTCTGTTTCTCTACAGCGCTGGTTGCCATGGCAGCAGAGCTGAGTCAGGATCATTTAACATTGACCAGGAGAGTTGGTCAAACCGTCTCCTTCAGCTGTGGAGGAACTGACCAGTGTGACGATGATGATGTATTCTGGTACCAGAAGAAAGACACAGAAACATTCAGAGTGATTCTTTATATTGATAAGAGTAATGGTCGAGTTGAATCAGGTTACAATCATCCTCAGAAAGATGATTTCTCAGCTGTGAATAAAAAGAACGGCTGTGAGTTGCAGATCCAGACAGTTAAACTCAGTCATTCAGCCACCTACTACTGCGCCTGTTATAAGTCTGATCCCCACAGTGAGAAATGATCCCTGCAGCCTGAACAAAAACCAACAGATGTCAAACAGTGTGTGTGACAGGAAGAGAGCAGTAAACCA